TCATGTACACACACCTGTCCTCTAACAACAATGACAAAAAGAAAAAAAGAAAGAAAAAGAAAAATAGATTCTACCTCTTGTCAGAGAAGCAGCATGTGGGCACAGGACAGGAAGAAGTGCTGACAACCATATTCGCACAAGGCCACCACAAAGATCCTCACACACAAAACTGGTCCAGAACCTCCAAGTTCTGTAGGTCCACCAACCCTCCTTGAGAAATTGTAGGAGGGAGGACGGTAGACCAGCAGGTTCCTAGAAGGAGTAAGGACTCTAAAGGCCTTTGAGGGCTGTGGCCAAGGTGGGTAGCTCCTTTGGGAAAAGGGAAAGGGTCGCAGGTAAGCAGAGCAGAGTTGAGAAGGAACTCTGTGTCGAGTGAACAGTGGCCAGCCCACAGAGGGCAGATGAGCTAGAAAGGCAGGGAAGGCCTGGGGGCTGGACTCGGTCTTCTCCAGGCCTTGAGAGAGCCTTGGGGAAAGCTCTGAGGTAGGTGTCTGAGCAGGTCTTCTACAAGTGAGGGATGCAGCATTTTCATTTTCTCCTTTTCTCCACGGTCTATTTCAAGGCTGTTTCTCCCATCCAAGCCTGTGTGTTGCAATCTCTTGCGTGCTTAGGTTTCCGATCTTCTACTGCCGAGCCCCAGCCCCTAGAGACATCTCTTGCCTTGCCTTGCCTTGCCTTGCCTTGCCTTGCCTGGCCACACTAGGGAAGTCTGGATTTCAGCCCTGGGTTTGGCCACCGCTCCATCCTCCCCCCTGTCCCACTTTTCTTCTGCCTGTTTGTATTCAGTCTAGACGATTCATTTTTATTTGTTGATGTCCTGCCCTAGCCTGGGGGCAGCTGTGGTGTGGTGGGAAGAGCACTCGAATTGGAGTCCGGAAAGCTGGTTTAAATTCTGGCCTGCCATTTACTGGTGGTACATAAATTTGGAGCCTTCTGCTCCTCCCCTGCCAAGTAATAACAGTGAGCCCCACCTCCAGGAGGGCTAACAGGCAAGCCTCTGCTCCTATTCCCTCGTGAGAAACTGAGTTCATGTCTCCTAGCCAATCCCTAAGTGCCCACCTGTCCAGCAAGCCCTTTGCCAACCAGTCCTGGTACCTTCGTAGAAACCCCATGCCCATCTCCGCAGTCTTGGGATGAAGCCCTTCATCTCCACCTTAGTTCCAACACCAGTCATTCAACAGAAGTTAATTGAGCAAGTACTATGTCCCAAGCACAGTATGTCCCAGGAGCTGAAGATACAAGGAATAAAACAGCCTAAAATCTCTGCCCTCTTGGAGCTTGCATTCTAGTGAGGGGGAGACAGACACAAAGGGGAGTAAATGTTAGAGCTACACTGTCCAAAATGTGCATTAAGACATGGCTATAACCAATTGAGATGGGTGATTATAAAGTACACACCAGATTCAAAGACGTGTACCCACAAAGATGTAAAAATCTCTAATAATTTTTATGAGGCAGCAGGTGGCATGGAGGTTAAGGCAGCTGGACCCCACATGGCCAACTGCACGGCTCGAATCCCAGACCCTATGGCTTGAAAATCACACTGGGCACATGTACACGAGTGTCCAAAATCCCAAGAAGAGAATGGAGGAGAGGGGATTGTGACTTGGCCACCTCCTGGGAGGAGTGATTTCTCACTTTCTCCCTCTCCTTTTCTCTTTCTGTCTCTTCCTGATGAGCACATGCACCCTATAGCAAACTACAAAATAATAATAATAATTTTATATGCATTAGATGCTGAAATATTTTAGATATACTGGGGTGAAATAGAACATATTATTAAAATAAATTTCAGAGCCAAACGGTAGTACAGCAGTAAAGTCCCATGCCCCACGAGACTGACCCTCATGGGAAGGTTCTGGGTTTGCATCCAGAGACCTCCCTGAGTGCTGGCCACACATGTGCTCGTGACCTGCAACTGACTGAAGGCTGAATGTGGGTGGCAGAATCAAGACCCTGTTTGGGGTGCCATCATTTTCTGTCTCTCCCTCTCACTCAGGGAAGAAAGAAAGAAACCTTTAAAATTTAATTTCACCTGTTTTATTGAACATTTTCAAATCTGGTTCCCAGAAAATTTTAAATTACTGAGCCAGCAGGTACAGAGGTTAAGACTCTGGATCCCACATAGCCAGCTTCAAGGGTCAAGTCCCAGACTAGGCGGACTGAGAATCACACCAGACACAAGTGAATACATGGCCAAAACCCTGAGCGATGAGGAAGGGATTACAGCTTGGCCATCCTCTCTAGGGGGTGATTTCTCACTCTCTCTCTCTCTCTGTCTAGCAAAAAATAAAATAAAATAAAATAAAATAATAATAAAAGTTTAAATGACGTAAGTGGCTCTCATGGTATTTCTAGCAGACAGTGTTGTTCTGAATGTGTCCGAAAGTGGCATGTTCTGTAGGAAAGAAGAAAAGGTCCTGAAGAGGCGGGCCCCAAGTGCAGAGGGGTCAAGGCACCTCACTGCGAAGGTAGTAAGAGCCACCCTCGCGTGCCATGGGGGCAGGGGGAGTGCCCCAGGAAGGGCGGGCAGCCAGTGCAAAGGCCTGGAGCACACCTGCTGGCTGGAGAGCAGAGAAGGCAGCCTGGGGCTGAGTGCTGAGGGGGTCCAGACTCACTGAACAGTCAGAGAGGCTGGGCGGCCGGGACGGTGCTGGGCCTCTTCGGGCCATACGGCTTTTTCTCTGAGTTAAACTGTCTCTGCGGGGTTTTGATCCAAAAGGTGACATGATTTGGCCCACATTTTCATAGGCTCACTCTGGCTGTTGTGTGAAGATCAACTGCAGGGAGGCCAGTTTAGAGGCTCAGACAAAAATCCAGGTGGGGTGGCAAGAGCACCACCCCCCTCGGGCTGTCACAGGGGCTTCTGTTACGGGAGCACTCGCTGGATCAAGAGCTCCGTGAGGGCAGACTGTCCCCTTCACAGTGTAGACCAAAGTCTCTGCACTGCCAGCCACCCACGTTGCTTCTCCCTGGAGGACCGCAGCAGCCTCCTCCAGCCCCACTGCCTCCCACACTGTGGCTGGACACCAGGGCATTTCCGACCGCCGGGACCCTCCCTGATTAAAGCCACTGGTAGGGCTTATCCCTGACAGGTCTTAGGATCTTGGCTTCGCACTGCAGGCTCCCCTAGAGCTAACCCCTACCCACCTCTCCAGCCTCAACCTCCTTCCCCATTTCCAAGTCCCACCTTCATTCCTTCCCTCTCTATACTACCCCTTCTGACCAGGACGTCTTCAGCCCTCCTCCACCCCTCCCTGTTCTATCTGCCACTTACCCGTTCTCTACGGGGCAGCCCCTCCCGGGTCTACCATCTCCGGTGTGCATCCATGTCACTCCCGTCACATCAGATGACCCCATCGTGTTACATACTGTTTATTTGTGAATTTACACTATAGTTCTGTGTTCACGACGGCACCATGCCCCACAGCACACTGGCTGGCCTACCTATTCAAACTACATGAATGGTTTGCAAGAATAAATGAGAGGTTAATCCACTGTACTTAAGATCCAGGCGGGTCTCACCTTCCCCAAGACCAAGACAGAAGAGAAGGTAGGGCAGGGAGCCCCTCAGTGGCAACCAGAGCTGTAGGTCTGTTTTGTGGAGGCCCACTACCTAAAACTAAATTCCACCCTGGGTCATAGGCCACCATCAGCATCCCTTCCCACTCCCTGCCACGCAGCCACCAGGCCCCTACAGCCAAGCACAGCCTCTCTCTTCTCCTAGGCTACAAGCTCAGAGACACGGCCGGTTCCTTCCTTGGTCCAGGGGCCTGGGTCACGATTCCTGAGGGCAGTGCTGCCCATTGGGAGGGACCTTGGCTCCCGTCTAAGGAGTGACATTCCTCTCCACTCACTCCCAGCGTTTTCCACTTTTTATATCAAGACAGGAATGGACGGGGTTCACCCAGGACCACCCCAACCAGAACGGAAGAACCCTTGCCTCCAGCATAACGAGGTGGGTCATTCCATACCGTACACACCAGGGACCCGTTTCCCAGACCAGAGGCAAATGCCACGTCCCCCAAGGGAGAAGGGAAAGGGAATGGGAGGAAGTCAAGAATAAGAATTCCATGGAGAAGGAGAAACCAAGAGGAGCTTTGAGATCAGAATTAAATTCTTTAATACAAAATGCTTTTTTTTTTTAAGATATATCTGTATTTCTTTGTTGTTGTTTAAAAATAAATATGTACTACGGAATATCTCGAAAAACTGCACTAGAGACAAAGACGTGATGTTAATATCTTTTCCCCCCACAATTATTACGGATAAACAGTAGCACCAATAAATAAATGATAACAAATATTAAAATTAAAAAAGGAGAGAGATTTAGTATGTAGAATTCTCTATTTTTTCTTGTTTTGTTTTTACATATAAAAAACAGAATAGCAATGTCTATTTTATCAGAATCACATATATACATAAACATATATATATATATATATATTTATATACACAAACACAAGTTGCCAAATATATATATAGTATGTAGATGTATATTGAAACCTTATTTCAAAGGAATGTGTGGTGGGGAGCCAGGAGAAAGGGGAGGGCAGAGCTCAGTGTTAGCAAAATTAAATATCTGTTCAGGACAAGCTGGTGACTGTCACCGATCAGGGAAACAGATTGGAAACTGAATTCATACACAAAAACCAGGACAAATAAGAGAGAGTGCGAGAGAGCAAGAGAGATATCTCATAAATAGTTGAAACACAAGATGCTAAATATATATATAGTATGTAGATGTATATTGAAACCTTATTTCAAAGGAATGTGTGGTGGGGAGCCAGGAGAAAGGGGAGGGCAGAGCTCAGTGTTAGCAAAATTAAATATCTGTTCAGGACAAGCTGGTGACTGTCACCGATCAGGGAAACAGATTGGAAACTGAATTCATACACAAAAACCAGGACAAATAAGAGAGAGTGCGAGAGAGCAAGAGAGATATCTCATAAATAGTTGAAATTAAATATTAACCAAGAATACTGAAAAAAACCCTACTCTTTAATTAAATTAACTGTTTTAATTTCTAATTAAAAAGGGATATTAAATAAGTACCGTATATAAAACACTTTCTCTTTTCTCTGCCTCCACGGTGGGCACGTGGATCCTGCCCTGTCCCTCGATGCCTTGGGAAGGAAAGTCGGGGGACGGAAGAGGGTTAACCACTCACACACACACAGCCAGATCTCCTGGGGGGACAGAACTAGTGGTTTCAATGGTCTGAGGACATCAGGTGCCTCTGGGCTGCACCCCAGGAAGGGGAGCAGGGAGGAGGACGAGGGTGGGTGCCAGGAGGAGCTGTCACGGGTTGCCGCTTCTACCACAGTCTCTCTCGTCTTTGCCGGGACACGTGTCAGTGGCCTCCTGGACAACTTGGAAGCAGGTGAGAGTAGGTGAAGGCTGCCCAGGCTCCTGAATCTTCCAGCAGTACCCCTGGGGGCAAGGTGCCCGTGCAGCACGTGGAGGGGATCCCCAAAGCACAGCAATGTCTGGAAGCTCCCCAAACTCCTGGTCAGAGCCGGCATCCTTGTCCCTGTACTCGTTGCCTCTGTCCACTTGAGTCAGGTAGAGGCTCGGGGCCAGGGCTGGGTTTGTCAGTGTTCCCAAAAGCAGGCCAAATTTGCCCCCGTGCCCTGGCCTTGCTCATTCCTGGGCAGGGGAGAGGACCCTGGCCTCCCTAAGAGGGACAAAAAGATCACACCAGAGTCTCTCATCCCATTCTCTTCCCTGTTGGGATCTGGGTGGGGACCTTTTCCTCCCAACTCAAGTCCACAGCAGTCAAATACATCCAGTGAAGACACCAATAACATTATCAATGTTAATTTAAAAAAAGAATATATATATTTTATATATCTATAAAATATATATATTTATTTTTTATATATATAATATATATATATATATAAACGTATGTATGTGGGTGGATGTGTCTACAGGAATCCCAGAAATAAAACTCTCTAATCTTCCGGGCTTGGTGATTTAGCAGCAAGAAAAATAAAATGGCGAATCCAATTCCAAGAGGGACCGTGCTTGGTCACCCGCCCGGGAATGCTTCTGCCGGAGTCTCGCCCTCCGGACCCAAAGTGCTCTGCGCAGGGTCTCCTCTTCCTTCATTTCGGGTTTCTGGATTAAGGATTGTTCTGTCGAAGGTGATGGTGGTGTGGTGGCGGCAGCATGGTTTCCGAATCGGTCGTTCTGGATCAGTCTTTCCTGGTGACAGGTCTGGTTCCCGAAACCCTGAGGGAGGCTCCTTCCTCCAGCCTGGCTCACCGCCGCGGCTTGTCACATCTGAAGGGGTGGAACACAAAGCCAGGGGTTAGGCCAGGTGCGGTGGCCTGGCGGTGAGGCAGCAGCCTCCCCCTTCCTGGGGTCCCCTGGGTAAGAGCAGGGAGGACAGAGGAGGCGTGGTCCTGGGTCAGAAAAGCCCCCGTGTCCCTGCCCTGGGGGACCACCAGTCTGAGCAGCAGCCATGCTCCGGGGATCTCAGTCTGCCTAGGGCTCACGATCTGCTGAGACGACAAAGACAGGGGGACATTTGACAAAGCAACGGGTGAACACATAGCAAAGAGCAGCCCCTACTCGGCATTTTAAGAGCTGGCAGGTGACGGGAGTTGGGTACAGTAAATCAGGAGGGCCCTGCAGGTTTGTCCGCCCAGTCTCTGTAGGCCTGGTTTGAGATGAGTAGGCCCAGCACCAAGGAGAACACCCTGAAGGAGAGGGTGGCCCTGGGATGCGTGGCTTCCCAGGGAGGGTGCCGGAAGGGACCAGGGCCCCAGGAAGGTGAGGGAACAGCTCCATTCCATCCCCATACCCTCCCCTGGCCTCGCCATGACTTCATCTCTCGGGAGCTGGCTGGCAGTGCAGGCCTGGGTAGCAAGCTGCTCCTCTTTCCAGGGGCTGTGTCGCTGAGGTGGTGGAGAGAGCTGTGGCCTCGCCGCTCCTCTTGGAGCAGAGGAGACCGCTAAGAACTTTCTCACATGCCCCTCTCCTGGGACTGAACAGGCCGTGACCTACAGGAAACCTGGGAACTGGGAGGGGTTCCACAATTCCAATTTTGTAATTGAACTTTTGTATCTGTCTTTGAAACTGCCAGATACAGCCAGGTTAGGGGCCGCGTAAGGTCTTTGGATGCAAGAGTAACTTCGGTTAGCTCCCAGGCTACCTCGCAGGTCTCCCCACCCCTTATCAACTCTGCAGAGTAATCACCACAGAAACCCTAACATGTCAAGTCCTCTTCCTTCCTTAAGCGAGCCCCTCTGAGGAGCTGAAACCCCTCACCTGGCCCCGGAGTTACACAGAGCTCCACCCTCAGCACCAGCGTACACTTCCTGTCTGCACACAGCGCCAAGACAGACAGAAGCCCACACCAACGACCCAGGCCTGGTCCCCAGCATCTCTTGAGCACCTATGAGCCATGAGAACATGGGCTGGAAAGGAAGAGCCAGAGCTCTTATCCTCAGGGAGCCCCCCCATCTGAGGGAGGCACAGCTCTGTCCTCGGGGAACCCTCAGTCCCCGACCTCTTAGAGAAACACTGAGGATGAAAAGCCCAGCCCTGCAGACATCAGGCGACAGGGGGAGGCCGCAGGCAGAAAGTTCAAACTCTGTAGACGTGGTTCCACCCCTGGAGGGCTCTCGGCTTCCCAGCATTCATAGCAGAGGAGGTCGTAATAGCAACATCAGGACCGACAGCCACAAGCAGCAGGACCACGGGACACCACACACAGCGTGCGTCCACACCACCAGTTGGCCACGCCAGCCTACCCACTCAACCAGGGCAACCTCCACACAGACCCTGCCAGGCTGGACCAGCGCCTGCCGTCCGCCACGGGGGCCTCGCGAGCAGAGAAGGCAGCAGTCGCCAGGCAGGCAGCTAGAAGCTGAGCAAGCAGCTGGCCCCTCTCAGGCGCTCTCTCTCTCTCTCTCTCTCTCTCACCGTCTCTGTGTGATGCCCCTTTCTGACTCGCTCGCCCTCTGGAAACCAACCTGCAAGTACGTTCGTTTAACTCAAGCTGCCTCGCCTTGCAACGCGAGTCTGTGTTTTTGCAGGAACATTTACACGTCTGCGGATCTTGTACAAACAAATGCTTTCTCCGCTCTGAGCAAGGCCCACAGGGACTGCAAAAAGGCAAAAGGAAAGACATCTAAGCTAGAGCATCAGCAGAGAGAGAGAAAAAAACCATGCAACACCCCTAAGACGTCGGCAGCTGCACCCCCACCCAGCTCGTCGGCCCCCGTGCCCTTCCACGCCCTGGAGAGATCCGAGCACTAGAGCAGAAGACAGAGCGGCGGAAAGAGGCAGCACTGGCTAGGACACCTGCCCGCAGGAGGCGGGCACGGACGGGCAGAGTGCGGGGAGAGGGCGGCCATCACGGGCAGCGCTGTGTCCCAGGACACAAGGGCAAGTCTCAGGCCACAGGGCCCCAACTGCTGCCACCCCATGAGAACACATCTTGACTCTGTGCCTGCTGGGACAGCAATCGAGAGGGCCAGGAGCTGCCTCCTCCCTGTGCGAGGGCTCGTGCTCAGGCTCTCCCCACCCAGTGGGCTAAAGGTGGGACGGGACGCCTAGCCCAGACGTAGGGTCCACAAGTGAGACCACTGGTGGCCAAAGGGCCAGGGCCAGGCCCACCACAGCCTCCAACCTAGAGGAAAAGGCCTCCCGCAGGGAAGCTCTGTAGGTGCCACGAGTTGGGCTGGATGAGGAGGAGGTTCCCTCCAGAGACCCCGAGTCCATGAGGAGCCGAGGCACTGCCACCAGGTGAGCAGGGGCTGCCACATGGCACTTGACCCGGCCAAGCTCCTCCTCCGGCCGACCACCAGCGGCCTCTGGACATTGCACCCCTGCCTTGTACCATGTCCACCCTCCTCACACCCCCCACACCCAGACAAGTGCAGAAGCCCAGAGCAATGGAAACCATCGGGCGAGTGGGCACCAGCGCCCAGCACCCACGCCGCATGGGCCCACCACCAGTGCCCAGTGGGTGAGAGAAAGTTGGTGCCCAGCCAAGCCAGAATCCCCTCCCTGAACCCCCCAGGTCCACTTGGTCCGCCCACCCAACCCCAACCACGGACCAGCAACGCCGCCACCAAATCTACCCGTTGGTGCCAATTAGTGGAGTGAGAGTGAGAGAGAGACACTGGGGATGAGAAGGGAGGACAGAGCGAAGGAGGGGTGGGGGAGGTAGGGTTACGGGGTACTGCAGGTGAGCGTTTGATTGGGGGCCGGGGAGGCTTCGGGGAGTTAGACAGCAGCGGGCACCAACGTACACGCTCCAGGATTTATACCGGGATTTCTTGCGCTTTCGTTTTTGCCCCTTTCCCTTTCCTCGAACTGATTTTCTGGAAAATAAAAAAACAGAAACAGACAGAGAGAGCGAGGAGGGGGCAAAAGCAACAGCGAGGAGGGCAGGGGTGGAGACAACCGAAGCACAGGTGTGGGGGGCCTACTCCCTGGAGCAGGGACTGGGGGAAGCAGGCGGTCTCCAGGAAAGCTCGGACCGGCAGCTCCTTCTCGCGTCGCCCACCCGAAGGTGCAAGGCCAGGCTGTGGGTGGGGAGCAGGGACTGGCGGAGGGCCAGGGCCCACAGGCCTCCATGCTTGTGGCAGCCCAGGTGCCAGGCAGGGGGAAAGCCCCCAGGGCAGGCTCCTTGTTTGGCAAAGCTCTCGAAGTCTGACCCTGAAGGTCAAGGGGCTACCAAAGGTGAGCCAGACTTTGGGGAGAAGGTCAGAGACTGGACTCGATGGGGGTGGGCGACAGCTGTGCCTTCACTTCCATGTGCAGAAGCAGTGGGGTCCCTGCCTCGGAGAACCCCGCTGTGGGGAGAAGCTTCCTTGGGAGCTGGCACAAAACCGGGCGGCACATGAAAGACACCAGCTGGCCCAGGCAGAACCTGGACTTTGAGGGGACTGGGCACTGGGGGGCAGTGAGGAGGGCCAGGAGGAGGCCCGTGCAGCACTTGGCAGGGAGCTCTCTCCCAGCCTATCAAAGCCTGCCACATCATCTCGCCAGACTCTTGCGAACCCAGGCGAGCCCCCGCTCTCCCTGTGGGCAGGCAGGCGTCTGGAACGGACGGGGGGCAGGCTGTAGCCTGTCCCCCTCCAGGGAGCCAGCACTCTGCGCAGGGTTTTACCCTGCCCCCCTCCGGGGAGCCAGCACTCTGTAGCCAGCCAGGCCCAAGAGAACACCTCAGAGTGTCTGTCACAGGGGAAGGACGGAGGAGAAGGGCCAAAGGGAGAGCAAGTGTGCCCCTCTTGGGAGAAAGCACCAGAAGGGCAGGAAGGGGAGGGCACTCTCTCACTCTCACTCTTCTCTCTCTCCCCCTCACTCTCTCTGAGCCTGTTCTCCTGAATCATCGCTCTGGTAGCCGCAGCAATCCTGGAAGCTAGGGGCTTAGGAAGAGGCAAAGGGTTCAGGCCTAGGGGCTTTTTCACCCCCAGGGCATGGAGGCAGGTGGGACGGGGTTGGGACAGGGCATAAGTGCTCTCTCTCAGTCTCTCTCCCTGCCTGTTCTGGGTGGCAGCTGCTCACCTTGCTTTGAAGGTTCGCTAACCCCAGACCTGCCCTCCTACTGAGACACTGGAAGCCTCAGAAAATGACAAACATTCCACTTTCTCTCCCTGACCAAGAGGGCTGTGTCTACCTGCCCACTCCTATAGGAGGGCAGGGACAAGAGAACCCCCGAGGCACCCCCAAAACCAGCCACACCACCACAGTAGCTAATGAGGCCACTCCTCGGACACACAAAAGCTGGCCTCAGCTATCCACCCGTCTCCCCACTGTGGGGACCCTAGAGAAAGCCAGGGAGCCAGTGTCCACACTGCCCCCGACACACCCAGACTGCCAGTCCTGGCCTGGAATGTTCTGGAGGCCTGGAAAGCAGCGTTTCTTCCAAAGGAAGCCCCAGGCTCCAGGCTGGATTTTTCTCCCTAAGTCTAGAGCCATAATCCTGGGGTTGGCTCTATCCCACAGCTGCCACAGGTCCCCACGAGCCTGACCCCCTGCCCCAGCGAGGCCGTCAGAGCCCAGACAGAAGAAGCCAAGAGCCCCAGATGGAAACAACCAGCTCAGGAGACCAAGAAATGCAAAAGGCATGGCCACTTACTTTTCTTGCCTTGCTGTTATCTCTTTCTTTGGTCTGCAACGGACAGGGAAAGCCGGACCCGGTGGCTTAAAACTCATGCCGGGTGCGTGTGCGTGCGTG